AACGGAACTACCCTGAGTGGGTAGACAATCCTGCTCCCAGAAGATATGGATTATTAATTGAAAATCATAGCAACAGGAATGGAATACCTCCCTTGAGTTATTGATGATGGAGAACCCAGAAGCCTCCAAAATAGCACAGACTATTGTCTTTGCTTTGGATTACTCACAATAACTGCATTGTAAGTCCTTATCACTAAGAACATAACACACTTTTGCTGCAGGACACAAAGAAAACATTCTGAAATTAACCTGGAACTTCTTCCTTCCCCAAAATTGATAGTGTCAAAAAGTACTATTCAGGCTGCTATGGGAGAAAAGATATCAATGGTCTTACCCAGGGCTGGCCTACCATGCTACAGTACCAACCTTCTAGATAAGTTTCACAATAACTGCATTGTAAGTCCTTATCACTAAGAACATAACACACTTTTTCTGCAGGAAACAAAACATTCTCAAATTGACCTGGAACTTCCTCCTTCCCAAAAATTGGTAGTGTCAAAAAGTGCTATTCAGGCTGCTATGGGAGAAAAGATATCATTGGTCTTACCCAGTGCTGGCCTACCATGCTACAGTACCAACCTTCTAGACAAGATGTGTCTACTGGTGCAACAGTGGCATGATTGCTATGGCTTAACTAACTGATTTCTGATTGAATTTAAGATCTGTTTCACAGGAGGGATTTTGTGTCTATTCCTGTAATCCTGATAAGAAAATCCATGATTTATAAACTCATGGGTTCTAGGGTAGAAGTTGCTGTTATTTTCTTAAAGAATTATATTGCTCTATTGTCTTTGAAATGTTTATGTTTGTACCTACAGACCTGGGCTGTTCTCAACCATTGTCAGAGAAGCTCCTTTATACAGTAGACAACAATCCATGTAGAGACCCATGACTATTCAAAGTGCTGAGACAGAGAGTGTGATTGCTCAGCCTTAAACTGGACCTCTTTATCACCCCCATAACCCTTCACCAAAACTACAAATCTGGATGTACCAGTTGTTGGTTAATGAACAACAACTATATTAAATGTACATTGATTGTGATGAATCTATTACATAGGGACAATAATTATCAAGAAAATTATCAAGGGCCTACTAGAAGCACACACTGTCCAGTCACTACAAAGAAGAAGATATATAAGGTAGGATAAGGTAGAGTCAACTTTGCTGGGCTGTGCATCAAAAGTCAAAGATTATAGAAGCATTCTTTATATTCACATGGGTTTTCTGTGGGATTCTGAGGAGAAATTGCTGGAAGATGATATCATATCATGTTATATGCTATATTTTTAAGGAACATGGAGAAAATGAAAGGGCATTGGTGAGTTCCTGAATCCATGTTCTACTGTAGAAAATCTCACTGGTACTTGTGAAAGAAAGAAGTGATATCATTTCCATAGAACCACCTTAAATGTATGTGGATTAAACTGGACAGAGCCATGTTAAGAGATTTAAGCCAGTATCCAAGAGACAAACATTGTTCTTCTCATTTGTATTTCCCAGTTGATATATAGAGTCCTAAAACTGTGTGTGTGTACATGACATGAATGTTGAAGTGACACTAAGGGGAAAAGAAAGGAAGAGTAAGGGAAAGAGAGAGAAAGGTGAGGAATGGCTTTGGGGCAGAATGTAATCTACAGTCAAGTCTTCTGTCTTATACAAACACAGCACTATGTACAAGAAAAATCAAAATAGGCATATGAATAATGCTGTATTTTAAAATATGTGACTAGTTTAGATAACATAATTTAGGAAGCTTGATGAAGAATTCCAATTTACTTTGTATGTTAATCAAACATAAAAAGAAAAATAAACCTATGGATCCAATGTATCCTATGGCTAAACAGAAATTTTATTTGGATTCTCCCAGACACACATCCAAGGCAGGGGATGTTTTGGAAGGGGAGGAAGAAAGAATGTAAGAGCCAGAGGTTTAGAAAGAGTGCTCTGGAATGCTATTTACTGAACATAGCATGGCTCTTATATTCATGAAC